TCTGGCCAGCAATGACACATCCTATGAACATATTTTTTTAAAAGTCCAGATGAACATTGAATCTCATCTGTTTTATATTTTATCCCTACTTCCCCTTCCTATCTATTTCTCTAGTCATTGTTTGCTTTCAAAACTGAAGTTAAAACAATATCAAGTTAGAATAATGTTGTATCTAAGATGGTGTTATGCTGTAATATTGCAAACTTTCCACTCCTTCCAGTGCACATGACAATTAAGCTAATTCTAATTCTAATGAAAGAAATGTCATGTTCTCGGTTCTTTCCATTTGTGTTGTCCCTTACTTTTACTCAATAACCTTGTACTATGCAGGGCAGCACGGTGGCTCACAGTGCCAGGGACCTGGGTTCGATTCCACCCTCGGGTGACTGTCTGTGTGGTGTTTGCTCATTCTCCCCGTGCCTGTGTGGGTTTCCTCTGGATGCTCCAGTTTCCTCCCACAGTCCAAAGATGTGCAGGCTAGATGGATTGGCCATGCTAAATTGCCTGTAGTGTTCAGGGATGTGTAGATTAGGTGGGTTACAGGAGGGTGGGTCTGGGTGGGATGCTCTGAGGTTCAGTGTGGACTTGTTGGGCCAAAGGGCCTGTTTCCACACTGTAGGGATTCTATGATTCTAGGAACCATAGACAGCTTAACATTATATTGGTGTTTCCTTTGCAACTAGGAATTACATGCTGAGTTGACAAATGGTATATCTCAACAGGAACACTTTATTGACAATGCTTACATCTCTACAGCCTGTTCTAGAGTGGACCCAAGCTCTGCCCCTCTGGTGACCTGACTAGTTCTCTTAAAGGGGCAGCACCCTCAACTACATACATAACATTTAGGGTAAGTTTACCTAGTGCAAGGTCAGGGTTTTGGAGAAGTGAAGACATCAGCAAGATCGAATGGATGTTTTTAATCACAATTTTGCAGAACATATCATTAAATTTTGTTTTAATATTTAATTGAAATGTATATTTTGGAAAATTGCAATGTGAGTTACTGAGAAAGAAAAGGCATCAAAATATGTTCAGAAGAAACAAAAACTTGCTGAAAAAAAGAGATTTTGTCGAAACTTATCGACTTAAACTTAACAGGAAATTTCACAAGGGGAAAATAATGGTTATGTTACATGGAAGAAGACAGCTAATGGGTTGATTCTGACTGCGAGGCATTGCCATGGAGAATACAACTATTCATGATGATTGGCAGTTAACAGCCAGGTGTTGTTAAAATTTAAACCAGGCAGATTGACTCTAATTAGTCACTACAATGGTCTGAGAAATAAAGTTGTGAATTGTCATTACCTGATAAACTCAACTTACTGATGGCAGAAAGGTAGGGTGAGGAATATGAGTCTAAAATATTTGCATTTAATAGAAATATTCACAGATACCCCATAACAAAGTCTCAGGAACATTAACTTTCTATAAATATCCAAAAGAATAATGTTAATAACTCATGGAATTTTATTTTCACGTAGGACTATTTATGCCATCAAATAACTATTTTCAATTCTTAATTTGCCTTCAGTTGGTCACCATGACCCCTCTTCCTTTATACTAATAAAAGGCAAGATTGGGAAGGGTGTAACATAAATGGCCAATTTGATGGTGCCCAACATACATCATTGCCAACAGTTAATATTATCCCTACCAATGTGTTTCTCCACAGTTTTTCCATTTGTGGCTAAAGTGTTTTCATTGGTAAGATTAAAGGCACCCAGGCCATATGGCCCATGTTGACTTTACGCTCACAATCTTACACACTAATTATACAAGCAGTATGTTGTCCAATTCTATCTTGTATAGAGGGGATTCTGACAGGCAGGATCTACAGGCATTTGGAGAGGCAAGGGTTGATTGGAGGTAGTCAGGATGGCTTTTTGCATGGGAAATCATGTCTCTCAAATTTGATTGAGTTTTTTCAAAGGGTGACTAAGAAAGTAGATGAGGGCAATGCGATAGACATTGTCTATAGTGCACTTTAGCAAGGCCTTTGACAAGGTACCACATGGTAGGTTATTGAGTAAGGTTGAATCTTACGGGATCCAAGAAGAGAGAGCCAATTGGATACAAAATTGACTTGACGGTAGAAGACAGATGGTGGTGGTCGAGGGTTATTTTTCAGACTGGAAGCCTGTAACCAGAGGTGCGCCACAGGGTTCACTGCTGGCTCCACTGTAATTCATCATTTATATAAATGATTTGGACGAGCATTTAGGAGGTATGGTTAGTAAGTTTGTGGATGATACCAAGATTGGTGGTATAGTGGACAGTGAAGAAGGTTATCTGGGAATGCAGCGAATTACTGATTAACTAGGCCAGTAAGCTGAGGAATGACAGATGAAGTTTAATTCAGATAAATGCAAGATGTTGCATTTTGGTAAGGCAAACCAGGGCAGGACTTACAAAGTCGATGGTAGGGCCCTGGGGAATGTTATAGAAAAAAAGAGATCTAGGGGTAGGGGTTCATAGCTCCTTGAAAATGGAGTCACAGGTTGACAGGGTGGCGAAGAGGCTTTTGGCGTGCTTGCTTTCATTGACCAGAGCATTGACTATAGGAGATGCAATGTCTTGTTGCCGCTGTACAAGACGTTGGTGAGGCCACATTTGGAGTACTATGTGCTGTTCTCATTACACTACTACAGAGTGCAGAAAAAATACTATTAACCAAAAAGAGGGCAGCAAAGATTCACTAGGATGCTACCTGGGCTGGAAGGTTTGAGTTATAAGGAAAGGTTGGATAGGCTGGGACTTTTTTCCCTGGAGTATAGGAGACTGAGGGGTGACCTTATAGGGGTCTATAAAATCACGAGAGGTATAGAGAAAATAAATAGTGGGCAGCGTTTCCCCATGGTAGAGGAGTCTAAAACGAGAGGGCATAGATTTAAAGTGAGAGGGGAGAGATATAAAAGGGTCCAGAGGTGCAACTTTTTCATCGAGGGTGGAGAGTGTCTGGAACAGTCTGCCAGAATTAGTGGTGCAAACGAGTACAATTTTGTCATTTTAGAAACATTTAGTCAGGCGCATGGATGGGATAGGTATGGAAGGATATGGACTGAACACAGGCAAATGGGACTAGATTAATTGTGAAAACCGGGTGGAATGGGCAAGTTGGGCTGAAGGGCCTGTTTTCATGCTGTTGACCTCTACAACTCTATGTCTGGTGGCCATTACATGGAACTGTACTGCAGGAGATGTGGAAATGCCTGGAGCACCTGAACCTTGCTGCTAGCACCAGCCAGAAGCTGGTCTTCACATTCTGCCTCTCCAACAATATGACGGGGCAAACTGTACAGAATGGGAAGTTGGCTCTCCCCTTCATCAGGGGGGACCTGGAGGAGCAGGTGGCCGGGTGTATGGCAACAGTGGTTACCCTTTGTTTGTTATTTTTACAGACAGAACCTAAATGCTGGGCAAAGTGGTCAGCAAGTAACTGTAAAAATGCCCCTGAGCTTGTCACTTCAACACACTGCTGTGTTCTCCGGCCAACATTCTATCTCCAGTTTGCTACAATGCACCAGTGAGGCTCAGTCAAGCTGAAACAACAGCATCTCATTTCGCACTTGGGGAACATGCAGCCTCTAGGACTCCATATCGACTTCAATAATTTTAGGGCCTGAACATCTTAATCCAGGTCCATCACTTACCCCCACACCCTATAATAACATGGGCTGCTTTCAGCACAGCCAACCCATTTTCACCTGCTTATGGTTACCATTGTCAGCTTTTCTTCCTCCCTAGCGTACTTTCATCCATCCCTTTGTCTGCCTACCTTACTTTCCTCTCTCTGGGCCCTGGCTCCAACTATCCACTTACTCCTTTCCCCCACCACATCATCAGCATATATATCAACCTTTTTCCTAGTTCTTGAGAAGGGTCACTGCATTCAAAACATTAACTCTGTTTCTCTCTGTACTGATGCTGCTAGACCTGCTGAGTCTCTCCAGCAATTCCCGTGTTCTGCACCTGCAATTCTTTGTTTTATTTCAGCATTCGATAGGTCTCTTTTTGTTTATTCACTCGTGGGAATGTGGGCATCACTGGATGGCCAACATTTACTGCCCGTCCCTAGCTGCTTTTGACCTATTTAGCTTGCTAGGCCATTCCACATGGCAGTTGAGAGTCAACCACATTTCTATGGCTCGGGAGACAGATATGAACCCGACCAGGTGAAGATGACAGATATCCTTCTCTGAAGGACATTAGTGAGCCAGATGTGCTTTCCTGGCAATCGTTTTGTGGTCATCAGGAAGTTCTTAATTATTTTTTGTTGAATATAAATTCTACCATCTGCCATGGTGGGATTCGAACCCAGGTTCCCCCAGTACAATAGCTGAGTTTCCGGAGTAATAGTCTCGTGATTATACTACTAGGCCATCGCCTTCAACTTGGGTCTGTTGGGCCCTTTGGAAATAAACTTCACTTTTAGTTCCATCCAGGTGAAGTAAAATTTTTTCCAAAGGACTGAAAGGGTTATGGTGAATCCAAAAAACTGGAAATATAATTTATCTGAAAAACAGTTGGTCCCAAGATTTTCGGATACAGGATTCCTGACCCATGCTAAAATCTCTTCTTAAATAAGGTCAGACGTCGCACAACACCAGGTTATAGTCCAACAGGTTTATCTGAAATCACAAGCTTTCAAAATTCGAAACCTGTTGGACTAGAATCTGGTGTCATGTGACTTCTGACCTCATCAACCCAATCCAACATCGGCACCTCCACATCATCTTAAACAGGCTTAAGTGAGGATACCCTGAGAGGTAGAGAGTTTTGAGATCAACGGACACAAAATTCCTTCTAATCACGCTATAAAGACAACACGTTTTACTCCAATTAGTTTAATATTATATTCACAGAACTGCTTTTGCATTTCATGTCACAGCTGTCTGTTTAGCTAACATTAATGGTTTACTCAAATGTTTTGAGAGGCAGTGAACTCACAAGCAACATTATTCAATCATGTGAGGATGTAAAATGACATGGCTGACCTCAAACACGATGATGAAAGCCAAACGTGCAGCTAGAACATGCCAGAACTGTAATGTGAACTCATATCGATTGCGATCCCATGGTGGAGCTCTGTAGTCTCTGTACCTTGAAGCAAAGAAAATGTTAAAAATCAAACATTACCACTCATGATTATCCAATCTGTTTGTTCAGCATATACAAGGGTAATGAGAGGGAGTAATAGAGGGAGATCAATATTAGTGAAGAAATAGTGCTGGGAAAATTGATGGGGTTGAAGGTGGATAAATCCCCAAAGCCTCATAATCTACATCCCAGAGTATTTAAGGAAATGGTTCTGGAAATAATGGATGCATTGGCGGTCATCTTCCTGGTTCTATTGACTCTGGTAGAGTCCCTGCAGATTGGAGGGTTGAAAATGTCACTCCAATATTCAAAAAAGGAGGTAGAGACAAAACAGGGAATTATAGACCAGTGAGCCTAACATCAGTAGTGGGGAAAATTCTCGAATCCATTATCAAGGACTTTATGGTAGGGCATTTAGAAAACAGTGGCAATTTCAAACAGTTAGCGTGGATTTATGAAGGGGAAATCATGCTTGACAAATCTGTTGGGATTCTATGAAGCTGTAACTAGCAGAGTTGACAAGAGGAAGCCTGTTGATGTGGTATATTTGGACTTCCAGAAAGCGTTTGACAAAGTCCTGCATAAGAGATTATTGTGCAAGATTAAAGTGCATGGGTTTGGGGGAAGTGTATTCAGATGGATAGAAAACTTGTTGGCAGAGAGGAAACAGAGATTAGGAATTAATAGGTCCTTTTCAAATTGGCAGGCAGTAACTAATGGGGTACCACAGGGATCGGTGCTGGGACACCTACTGTTCACAATACATATTAATGATTTGGATGAGGGAAAAAAATGTAACATATCCAAGTTTGCAGATAATACCAAGTTAGGTGGAAGGGTGAACTGTGACGAGGATGCAGAGATCTTTCAGCGTGATCTGGACAGGTTGGGTGAATGGACAAATCGATGGCAGATGCAGTATAATTTGGATAAATGTGAGGTTATTCACTTTGGAAGCAAAAACAAGAAGGCAGACTGCTACCTGGAAGGCTGTAAATTGGGAGAGGGGAGTATGCAGCGGGACCTGGGTGTCCTTGTGCATCAGTTGCTGAAGGGAAGTGTGTAGGTACAGCAGGTGGTAAAGAAGGTAAATGGTATGTTGGCCTTCGTTGCAAGAGGTTTTGAGTACAGGAGCAGGGATGTGTTGTTGCAGTTGTATAGGGTCTTGGTGAGACCACACCTGGAATATTGTGTGCAATTTTGGTTTCCTTTTCTGAGGAAGGATGCTCTTACTCTTGAGGGAGTGCAGTGAAGGGTCACCAGGCTGATTCCAGGGATGGCGGGTCTGATATATGAGGAGAGATTGACTAGGTTAGGATTGTTTTCACTAGAGTTCAGACAAATTGGGGGGGGGGGGGGGGAGGTGGAATCTCATACAGACATTAAAAATTCTAACAGGACTGGAAAGGGCAGATGCAAGGAGGATGTTCCCGATGGTGGGTGTGTCCAGAACCAGGGGTCACAGTATGAGGATTTGGGGTAGACCATTTAGGATGGAGATGGGGAGATATTTCTTCACCCAAAGAGTGGTGAGCCTGTGGAATTCATTGGCACAGGAAGTAGTTGATGCTAAAACATTGAACGTATTCAAGAGACAGCTAGATATAGCACTTGGGGCAAATGGATGAAAGGTTATGGGGAGAAAGCAGGGTTAGGCTATTGAGTTGGACGATCAGCCGTGATCGTGAAGAATGGTGGAGCAGGATTGAAGGGTCGAATGGCCTCCTCTGCTCCTGCTCATTTCTTCTATGTTTTTATGTTAATATCTTTTACTTTGGATTCAGGAATGCCTTTATTGGCTCCTGTGTTCAAATCCTGATTTACCCCTGATTATAGATTGCTCAGCCTGTGCTTTTTTTAAAGTTAGGTTTCTGATCCTATTGATAGATAAGAAAATGGAACATCAGTGTAATTATGTAAGGATAGCTTGGACTTTGCTGCTGCAATGATGGTAAATCTGTCAGTATATACTGTCATTTCAATCACTAAATTGACACTTTATTCCTGGCATAAAATCCAGTTAAATGTTAAGTGATGCCCCATTTATTATGGGCGGTGACTTCAACCAGGTCAACCTCAAGAGAGCGCTGCCAAAGTACCACCAACACATCTCCTGCCCCACCAGGGGACTGAACATCCTGGACCACTGCTACATAACCATCAAAGACACCTACTGCTCCATTCCCTGTCCACACTTCGGAAAATCAGGTTGTTACGCTGTGTTCCAGCTTAGAAGCAGAAGCTGAAGTGGGAGGATCCTTCATGGAAAGAAATACAATGCTGGTCCTAGACGAATACGCCACCACCATCAGGGACTTCATTAGAAAATGCATGGAAGACTGTGTACCAAAGAAGTCATTCCAGGTGCTCCCCAACCGTAAACCTTGGATGAACCAGGAATCCCACTTCCTACTGAAGACCAGACGTGCAGCATTCAAGTCAGACCACCCAGGCCAATAGAGGAAATCCAGATATGATCTCTGCAAAGCCCTCAGGGATGCCGAGAGGCAGTACCAGACCATGTTAGAGGCCCAAACCAGCCTTATGGACACCTACTGGTAGCAAGGCCTAAATGACATTACAGGATACAAAATGAAGCAGAGCAAGATTGTGGACAAAGACACAACTCTCCTTGATGCGCTCAATGCTTTCTATGCTCGGTTCGAGCAGAATGCCATTGGTGCGATCTCACTTGTCCCGACAGCCCCGGATGCACCTGTTCCCTCCATCGCTGCTGCAGATGTTAGGTCGGTCTTCCTGGGATTCAACCCAGGGAAAGCATGGGCCCGGTCAGAGTCCCCAGCCGTGCACTTAGATCCAGCTGGCGGAGGTATTCACTGATATCTTCAACCTCTCCTTCCTACAAACCAAAGTCCCTACACTCGTCAAGAAGACCACCATCATTCCAGCACCAAAGAAAGCACATGCAACATGCCTTAATGACCACCGCTTCAAGGCACTGATAATGGCCCACATCTACTTGAGCCTTCCAGCCTGCATCAATCCCCCGCAATTTGCCTACCAATGAAACCGGTTCACAGTGGATGCCATATCCCAGCCCCGCACTCATCCCTGGAACATCTGGACAACAAGGACACCTACGTCCAACTCCTACTCATTGATTACAGCTCCGCCATCCACACCATTATCCCCTCCAGACTAATCTCAAAACTCTAAGTCCTAGGTCACGGCTCTGCCCTCTGCAACTGGAACCTCAGCTTCCTGACCCACAGACTGCAATGAGTGAAGATAGGTAACTGCACCTCCTCCACGATAACGCTTAACATTGGAGCCGAGCAAGGGTACCTTTTCCCTGTAGATCCATGACTGTGTAGCCAAATTCCGAATGAACGCCATCTAAAAGTTTGCTGATGACACCATCATGGTGGGGTGGATAACAAACAATGATGAGTTGGAATATAGAAATGAGCTAGAGGCTTTGGTGACGCAGTGCAATGATAACATCCTCTCCCTCAATGTCGGCAAAACAAAAGAACTGATCATTCCCTTCAGAAAGACAGGAGGAGGACACAACCCCATCTACATCAACGGAGCTGAGGTTGAGAGGGTGGACATTGTGAAGTTCCTAGGAGTGACAATAACCAACGGCTTGTCCTGGACCTGACACATAGATGTGACGGTCATGTAGGCACATCAACGCCTCTTCTTCCTCAGGTGGCTCAGGAAATTTAGCATGTCCATAAGGCCCCAAACCAATTTCTACAGATGCACCATTGAAAGCACACTGTCCAGGTGCATAACTGCTCTGCCCAGGACTGTAAGAAACTACAGAAGGTGGTGTGCACAGCCCAGACCATCACAGAAGCCAACCTCCCATCCATGGACTCCATTTACATGATCTGCTGCCACGGAAATGTGGCCAACATCATCAAAGACTATTGCACCCTGGTAATGACCTCCTGCAACCTCTTCTGTCAGGCAGAAGATACTGAAGATTGAACACATGCACCAACAGGTTGAAGAACAGCTTCTTCCCTGCCATTATTAGCCTGATGAATGGACTCTCTACCTTCAAATGATGTTGATCTTGCTCCCATGCAGTGTAACCTGTATGCCTCACTCTGTCTGAGCGCCCTATAACCTATATGTCCTTGCTTACTATGATCTGCCTGTACTGCTCACACAATGCAGCTTCTCACTGTATTTAGGTACATGTGACTACAATAAATCAAATCAAAGCCTTGTTGATTGAGGTGTAACTTTCAATGCTGCGTTAAATCCACTTTTACTTTTGAAAAGCCACCTTGATCTGAAAATCGTAATTTTATTAATGCAGAATCTCATTCTTTTTGAAGAACAGTTAAGCATTGTATGATTTTGAAAGTAGCCTTTTGGTTGATTGTGTTTCAGCTCCTCCTTTAATTCTATGTATATGTTCCAATTCTATTTTCTCCATCTGAATGTTATGAAGAAATGTGGACTATTTTCCTTGCTTTTCACATCCAGCATTGCTGTCTATGAGAATTCTCCAATCCGATTGGCTGAACTGCCTTCCCAAATTCAAAGCCATTTCGAACAGAATAGGTAAAATCTATACTCTGAAGTCTGGAATACAAGAACACAAGAACTAGGAGCAGGAGTAGGCCGTCTGGCCCTTCGAGCCTGCTCCGCCATTCAATAAGATCATGGCTGATCTATTCGTGGACTCAGATCCACTTACCCGCGTTCTCATCGTATCCCTTAATTCCTTTATTGTTCAAAAAAAATCTACCTTTTTTTTAAAAGCGTTTACTGAAGTAGCGTCAACTACTTCACTGGGCAAGGAATTCCACAGATTAACAACCCTCTGGGTGAAGAAATTCCTTCTCAGTTCAGTCCTAAACCTGCTCCCTCTAATCGAATCTTTGTGATTCGTCCAGGTCGGGGCAAATTGTTCATGAGCACAAAAGACAGGCTATTATGTTAAAATTTCTAGATTTGATGATAGGTGGGAACTGAGAGAACCTCTTTTAGTTCATTCACAGGATGATGGTGTCTCTGACTAGGTCAACATTTATTGCCCAGAGGACATTTGAGAGTCAACTGCATTGCTGTGGGTCTGGAGTCACATGCAGGCCAGACCAGGTAAGGATGGCAGTTTCCTCCCTTTGAAGGACATTAGTGGACCAGATGGGCTTTTCCAACAATCAGCAATGGATTCACGGTCATTATTATACTCTTAATTTATTCAAATTCCACCATGAGCTAGGGTCGGATTCAAACCCAGGTGCCCAGAACATTACCTACATCTCTGGATTAACAGTCCAGCAATAATACAACTAGGCCATTGCCTCCCTGAATGATGTGATCGACAGGAATAAATTTGTCCCATTTCACTGCAAATCAGTCCCTTCTGAACTATCGGCCTAAGACATTCTTTCTGTACCAGTAACTTGTATGGAGAGTACCATCATCGGAGAGTTCAGGGGTGCACTAGATTCAGGCAATGGCACAGTCAAGTGGATACAGTCCTCAAACTGAACCTGTGTGCACAGTTTCACCCCTGAGTGCATCCCTGTTAGATTGGTCAGAGTCCTGGGTTGAGAGGTCTGTGAGGGCTAGTTTTAATTTCATTCAAGACAACAAGGTGTAGAGCTGGATGAACACAGCAGGCCAAGCAGCATCATAGGAGCAGGAAGGCTGACGTTTCGGGCCACACTATTTCAGACTTATGATCTGTGACAGAGGACCAGCAGCAAATCATCGGTGATGGTCAAGAGAGCTAAGTAATTGAGCAATTGCTAAGTGATCCTTCAGTAGCTTGTCACTGATTACATGTTGGGTGCTACTTATTAGCTGCCGCCCCGTTTATTTTTCCAAAGATTGCAAATGTATTGAGGTGTGGGCGGTTTGGGGCTAACACGGCAATCTCCTTTCTTTCTCCGAATTATATTCACCTGCAGTAGCCTTTATCTGCTGTGCCAAAGTCACTCATGTTGAAGAAGGACAAACTGCCATTTACATAGCCTCTCAAGCATCTGCAAGAAAATTTGAAGATGTCAGATATCTGTTTAAAAAAAAAATTACCAATTATACTACACATTAGCCTGCAATCAGTCCACAGGCTTCAAATCCCAGAGGGATTTACTCAGGTCTCAATGTGCTTCTCGATTACCTGGCCAGTTTAATAAACAAGATTGGAATACATATATTTTTGAAATCTTAGACCTTGAAAGATTTATATTAAACCATTAATTTTTACCAACACATGTTTTCCTAATCTGCACCTTTCCTTCTGAAAATAGTGTGGAATATCCTTGCTCCATCTATTTGCTTCTCTGTGACAAATTCAGTTAATATGTGTTACATATTAGGCGAAGACACATTTGTAAGATTGGGAGTATTTCAGACCTCGGGGAAATATATAGCTATATCTGTGCTGAGCAAAGGTTGGATCACATTCATTTCAGAAAAGGTTTGTGCAATATCCATGTTCTTCAAAAAGAAAGAAAATGCAGCAGCTTCACAAGAATGGCTCCACAAATGAGGAACTCCAATTGTGCCAACAGATTGGTGAAGCTGTAACTGTTTTTCTTTGTGAAGAAAGGCCGAGAGAAAACTTGATTGAAAATCATGAAAAGTCTGGCCAGAGTAGATTAGGAGAAACTGACACCATTGCTGGGAGGACTGAGAATCAGAGATCTACGAGGTAACTGGCAGAAGAAACGATGAATCAAAGATTTGTTAAAGCTTGGAAAGAGGCCATTCAGCCCATGTTGTGTCCACCAGCTCTCTGAATGAACAATCACTTCGATCCATTCTCCTGCCTGTTCCCTGTAAACCTGCATGCTCTCTCCTTTCAGGTTGCAATCCAATTCCTTTCTAAATGTTTCCATTGAACCTGTCTCCACCACACTCGTAGTCAGGCAGTGCATTCCAGCTGCTAAACTCTTGTTGCATGTTTTTCTCAGATCACTTCTAACAATGAATTTAAACCTGTTCTTGATCCTCTCACAACTGAGAATGCTTTTGCTCCATCAGAATTTGTCCAGGCTCCACAATCTTTCGAAGGAACACAGTACCAACTATCTGCACAGTTGAAGTTCTTCACCTCTGGAAACAACCTTGTGAATCTTTTCTTTACTCTCCCAATGCCTTGACATCTTACCGAAAGCGTGGTCCTGTCGTGAAGTTAATTCAGAACACCAGAGAACAATCAACATTTTTTAAACACTGTTAAATCTAAAATGTGCTTTTCCTAAAAAAAAGAGAATCACTACTGACAGAAAAAAAACTTCAGTGCTGTCTAGTAAAGTGGGGCCCTTGGAAACTTGCATCTTTAGAAAGTTAGCAAGATTTCAAAGGAAGAGAGAGATGGCAGGAAGAGATAATGAGGAGCTGACTAACTTCTCTTTCTCAATAGTAAGTCAACTCTGGTAGATATTGCTTGTTTTGCTCTTCAAAGAATATCCAAAAAATGGTTAAAAGATTGCTATGCAATCTTTGATCAATACTACCCCTCATCACCCTTTCTTTCCATCACACTTTTATTCCTTTTCAATTTTTCTTGAATAGGTATATTGAATAACCAGCCTTGTGCTTCTCTAAAACCATGTCTCTATTATCATCATAACATCACATTTGCACTGGGCAATCTGCAGCTGCAATTCTCTAATCTTATTCACAGGCAGTTCCTGGGCTGTGAAGGGTTTCATTCTGGAGTCTATTTTGTTTTTATTCATTCGCAGGATGAGCTAGGCCAGCATTTATTGCCCATTCCAGAGGGCAGTTAAGAGTAAACCACATTGTCGTGGATCTGGAATCACATATAGGATACATCAAGTAAAGATGACAGTTACCTTCTCTAAAGGATATTAGTGAACCAAACGGGTTTTTTTCTTGACAATCAACAATGGTTCCATGGTCAACATTAGACTCTTAATTCCAGATTTTTTTATTGAATTCAAATTCCATCATCTGCGATTCGCAAGTCGATTTATACGCAAGTTGGAACACAATGTCTGTATGCTGGGTCTTTAAATTTACAACGCTGTATGGGATTGCATTCGCAAGTGCGGATATTTGTAAATCAAGCCCCTCTGTACCACACTCCCTGCCTTCATATCAATGACCTTCCCTCCATCATCAGGTCAGAAGTAGGAATGTTCACTGATGATTGCACAATGTTCAGCACCATTTACAAATTCTCAGATACTGGGACAGTCCGTGTTCAAATGCAACAAGATCTGGATAACATCCAGGCTTGGGCTGACAAGTGGAAAGTGACGTTTGTGCCACACAAATGACAAGCCATGACCATCATCAATAAGAGACAATCTAACTACGTTCCCTTGATATTCAATGGTGTTACCATCACTGAATCCCCCACTATCAGCATTTCCATGCATATATCGTCTTTAGCATCTAATTTGCTCATGGTGAATAGTATGATAGAAAGCTGCATATTAATAGGGTAATTGGGTCAAAATCCAGGAATTCCCTCCCTAATTGTGGGTCAACCCACAGCAGGAGGACTGCAGCAGTTCAAGAAGGCAGCTCACCACCACCTTCTCAAGGGCAACTCGGGATGGGCAAGAAATGCTGACCAGTCAGCGATGCCCTCATCCCACAAATGAATAAGATGCACAATCAACAAGGCTGTTAACAAGCAATAATCCATCCTCCTTATCAGTGAACTGGCTGCTCTCAGTGAGAATTAATTTCCAGAACCTAGTTAGCAAGTTGTTCCTTCTGTCAGATTGGCCTCACTGGACTTCTCATGTGATTCTGCTACATTTCTCATCATAGGCCACGTCGTTTGGGCTTCCATGAAATAAGATTCCACCCAAAGTCACAACTATTCCTCAACATGAGCACTTTACGGCATTTTAGATCCTCTAAATGAGATCTTTATGCTTGACTTAACTGCTTCTCCCCTGTCCTTTTATGTGAACTGTGAAATCTTTTCGCATGGCCATTCACGAAGCTGCAGCCTTAGGCTTTCTTGTGTTTTTGTTTACTATTTGCCGAGTTCCAACCCATTACAGACCTGTTTGTCTATAAACGCACATTCCATGACCAATAAGTCTGCACTAGGGCGTAAGGACGATACCTTGTCCCACAAAATCTCGTGCCGAGAGAAACTCCTCCCCAGCGGGGAATTAAATTCCGATCTCCTATGTGACAGTCAGAAATACCAACAGCTGTACAAATGAAGAGTTATCACAGTCCTTCTACACATGTGCTCAATGTACTGAGTTAATCAACTAATACGCTTTATTGATTCATCTGGAAACTTAACTTTACAACTAGCATTACATTAACACATCCCTTTTCTCATTCCGTGCTTTTGTGTATTCTGAAAGTTCCTGGTACTCAATTTCTGATTGGTGATTCAAAAGCACCCTGCATTATATTAGGTCTTTCAAACTTACCTCTTCCTCCTCCCAGTCAATTAGGTCCCAGTCATAAGTGAGAACTGCTCGACGCCTTTTCCAGAACTCCAAAAACACTGTGGCTGTAATTATACAACAACAAGACTAGAGACTCTTATGATCTTGGCTGATGTCGTTACTGCTCAAGACCTCTGACTGAAATCTGGCTTGATAGGTCATACTTTGTTTCATTTAATGAAGTGGCCTTTCTCCGAAACATAATCATATCAGGTTTCAGACTGGTTTTGACAATGATCAGACAAGCTTTGAAAGGCATTAGTCTGCTATTATTTTAGGAGTTTCGATAATTGATTTTCTCGCTGAGGAGAAACCCACATATTGGAAACTTATAGGGACAATTTGCAGAAGAACAGGATGGCACGGTGGCTCAGTGGTTAGCACTGCTGCCTCACAGTGCCAGGGGCCCAGGTTCGAAAATGCCTTTCAAAGTTTGTCTGATCATAAAACTCTCATAATATACATAAATTCACATTATCACCCCAGATGGGTCTCAGTCACCTCCCGTCTGACACATATTGGTTTCAAATCAGGACACCAGAAAGAGTGACCAGTTTATTATTAAACCCTCCCATACAGATACAGGTAAACTAACATGTCATTAGTTCAAAATTCAAACTCTAAAATACAAGATATTAATACATAAATCACACCTTATATTACAACATTTAAAAAAAAGACTTGTATTTAAATGGCATGTTCCACAAACTCAGAATGTTCCAAAAAGCAATAAGACAAATGTTTAAATCACTGGCTTGGGGTGTTGTTTGAAGAATAAAGATTGGACAGAATATAGAGTGATTGAACCAAGTCTCCTCCGAATGGAGCTATGGAATCATTTATATGAGAGGGTAGGTGCTAGCATTTACACCGCAAGGATAGCACATCCATCTACTGATTTTGACAGTCAAAAAGATAAAAATCTAGAGAAATTGGAGACAGTGTGATTGGAAGTGTGAATATATCGAGAAAGAAGCTCTTTGCATCTCAAGAGACGCATCCAATGGTCAATTTGCATTGAGTTTCTGAGGTAAGGAATGAGACATGATGTAAACTTATAGCCAAATGAAATGACCCTCCTATCGTTAACACGAGTTAAAGATGTATGGCAAGAAAGTATTAAGGAAAATAAGACAAAGCTCATGTGATTAAAGAAGTCTACACAAACTTCAATCTGTCATAAACAATAACACAAGTTGCTGCAAAAGGTCAGCAGGTCTGGCAGTATCCGTGAAGAGAAATCAGAGTTAATGTTTTGGGACAGATGACCCTTTTTCAAAACTGATGGTAGTTAGGAAAGTGTTGGTTTATATGCAGAAGGTAGGATGACGGGAGGGGGTCAGGAATAAATGATATGATTGAGCCAAAAGAGAGAGAAAAACAGTTGGACAAACAAAGGAGTGGATAACGATCTGGCTGGGAGGGTGAACAGCTGTTAATGGGGACTGTTAGTGGCCAACCATAGGTAGTGTGTAATGGCAAACTGTGTGATAACAAGGCCTGGCGTGCGGGGTAGGGGGCTGGGACATGGAGAGTTCAGGCCCTAAAATTATTGAACTCGATATTGAGTCCAGAGAGCTGCAGGGTCCCCAA